AAAAAAAAAAAAGATACTGGGTTTATCAGGTCAAATTGTATTTCACAATGACAGTTGTGTTTGCTTCTGGGAGTCCCCAGAGAATTTGCATGTGCTCCCCTGGAGTTATTTTCTCTTGGCTTTGGTCTCTCGTTTTCTCATCTGTTATGCTGGGTCTTCTGCCTCTGCCACCCTCCCAGTTTATTGCATTCAATTCTGTTAAAGGTTTCCATTCCAATAACTGAAGGCCTGGACTTGATTTCCATGTTGACGGATGATGCTACAATTGCTGCCTGGAATAACGAAGGTCTGCCCAGTGACAGAATGTCAACTGAAAACGCTGCTATCCTAACCCACTGTGAGCGCTGGCCCCTGATGATAGATCCCCAGCAACAGGGAATTAAGTGGATCAAGAATAAGTATGGAACGGACCTGAAAGTCACACATTTGGGCCAGAAAGGGTATGTGAAATCTGAAGGCATTGGCTTTCTGTCTAGCTGCATGAACTGGGTCTAATTTTTACAAAGTCAGCATTTATTAGATCTGTGTACCCCCTTCAGAATATTCCAGTTTGGTGCTATTTGATTGGTGCCTGCTCATGTTTCATATAAAATATTTCTGATGAAAGGGATTTATGTTGGGCAGTATCCAATTACCTGAAGAAGAGATTATATTGAAGGTTAGAACGATTGATAAAAGCATCTAATTTACGCATGGACTTATTAGTTCAAACTATTGAATTTCACTTGGAAAATATGACTATAAAATTTATCTCAAAAATCTGATCTTTAATTTCTGTATAATTAGTTAAAGAAACATATTACTTCATAAAATAGTTTTCTCTAAGTTAGTTGGTCCCATTTAAAATATCTATGTTAAATGTAACTTAATCATATAAACAATTTTGAACATTTTCCTCGTGCTTATTTACATTTTATATCTCAATTCTGATGGAATTTTAAGGTTTCTGAGTGTCATTGAAATTGCTTTGGCTTTTGGCGATGTCATCTTAATTGAAAACCTTGAGGAAATGATAGATCCAGTCCTTGATCCACTGCTTGGCAGGAACACGATTAAAAAAGGAAAGTAAGTGTTCTTAAACTCATATTTTATTCTAAATGACTTTGATCATCAGCTTCTATTTCTTAGCCTCATTATCAAACACAATTGATTGGGATCTTCTTGGTGATATTTCAGAGTTTCTGTTCCATGGCAGTTATACTCCCAGACCAAAGCATCCTCAACATGATCCAGACATTCATTCAGACTGGTGAATTTAGATGTGTTTTACCCAATTCCTGACTTATAGACCAAAAAATGCATTGTCACAGATCTGAGAGTAGTTGCGCCTTTTTTATACTGATATTTCTCTACCTTCAGTAATTTGCAAAACACCTTGAGTACGGTTGCCTATCTGCATATAACTTGTATCCTTATTTACTTAATATTTTTCTTTAAATAGATATCAAATCCACTCACTGTTTTTTTAAAATCAGCTTCTCCCTAGTAATAATATTCACAAAATCATGGGTTTTTAAAAAATGTGCTTAAAAATATATAACCATTCAAAAAAGAATTTTTGAGTGGATACCTGAAAATCATCCCCCACACCAGCAGTGAATTGCCAATGACAGGGAAACACACACACACAGCCACCCCACCCACCCCCAGTGAGATTTATGTGACTTTCCAAATGGCTACCATTCTCCCTGAGACACTATGCTTTCCAGAACATTCTCCCAAGAGCATTGAAGCCATTTCTGAAGAGTCATCATGTCACTTTTTTATAAATGGTGAAAGGTCTCTCATCAAGCCTGGGTGGGCTCAGGGAAGACGGTGGCATTCCAAAAGTTCCTTGTGCCTCTTCACTCAAGAAACCAACATTCATTAGACTTTTTTTTTTCCACTGGATTTCCTTCTCTCTCTTTTTTTTTCCTTCACAGAGGTATAATTTCAGAACTTCCCTAACCCTGTTCTTCCTTAACACCCACTCTCTGCCTCTAAGGTATCTGCCTCCTTTTTCATCACTGCATTATTTCTGTAATTTCAAGTGGAAATAGTCCTACTTAAGTGTGACTAACTTCTTAGTCTCTAATTGATTAATATGGTATTTATTATACAACTCACCAAGTAAATCCATTTAGAGTGGCTGACAACTTATAATTGTTTAATAAACCAAAATTTACTCAGACATGCATTTAGAACAATCTAATAAGCCACTTGACATACTGCAACTCTTAACATAAATATAATTGTAGCTGTGTCTGATGTGTTAAAAATATAGTGTAAAATCTTGAATGTCACTAAAGTGAAGTCCTCGTTATTAAGGTTCTGCCTCTATTATGAAGACCTAAAATTTTTGTCAGTGAAATAGATATTCTCTGAGCTTTAACTTAGACTTTCAATAGCACAGTTTAAGTGTAAGAAATTTGATGATTCTTATTATATATATATTTGGATAATCTGAAATTTCCAAAGACCAGTCAATTTGAGTCATAACTTTTTTCTCAGTATGTAGGTAAGTATCAGACAGGATTCCAGAGGTCTCTGATCTTAGAAACAAATTTTACATGGAGCATCAAGTCTTTATTGCAAAGTATCAGGCCAGAACAATTTATTCCGAATTAATAATATTTCCTGAACATGTACTCTCTGTTAGGCCTTATAGAACTGATCGTATCATTCCAGCACTTTTTTTTAAAGGTAAAGAAATTTTAAAATGACTTATAAGAATATAACAAATAGTGTTTGTTTCATGCAGTTATCGCCTTAATAATCCTGGTTCCTACAGTCTTATGTATGGGAATAACCACTTGTTTGAGGGTCAATTTCAAATCTTTATCTTCAGTTTTTCCTACTTCCCTTTTCCATGCAGATGTTTTTAGAATATCTTTAACCAGAGACCAAGGGTGCTATTGGAATCCTTATAGGTCCTGTCGGTCATTGAATAAACCTCCTCTGAGTATAGCTGTATGCCAGCTACTGAACTGCGGCTGCAGATTCCAAGTGTCATAAGGTACCTACTCTTCCCTTAAGGAAGCTACATTTCCTTAGGGGAAGATGGACCTATAAACAATAAAAGTAAACCAGTGCCATTGATGTGATGATGGAAGTATACGTGGCACTTTCACAGTGGAGACTTGAAAAGGCATTTGGGAAAAACTGCATTTGATTATATTTATTTTGTAAGTCTCAAGAGATGAATGGTCATTTGTCAGGAAGACAAGTGGGAGAAGAGAATCCTAGACAGAGAGCCCTGATACCAAATAGTATAACACATGAAACATTCCAACAGCTTTGGGAACTACAGATAGAACCCAGATGGGTGGAGAGTCTGTGTTGGGAAGTATGGACTGGGAGAGATGACACCAGAGAGGTAAGCGGGGCCCAGAACATGGACTAACTTGGTTGACCCATAGGTTGGCCTTTTCCTATAGGTCGATGATTCTCCCCCTTGCCCCCCAACACATTCATGGGCCTATCCTATCATTTACACTAGTTAACAACAGTAATTGTTCTTGACCAAAGGACCATGCCTTCCTGGAGTCTCCATATCTTCACTTCAGAGGCAGGAGCATAAGTCAGTGGGGGATCCAGTGAAAGCCTCAAGCCGCTGGGAGTAATAAATCAGATTTACATTCCTGAAAGGTCACACTGCTTACAGTGTAAAGTGTTGATGGAAGGGCATGGATCTACAAGCACTGTCTAGTTACAAACAGTTGAAGTAATCTAATTGAGACGTGAGATGAGCCGAAACTAAGACAGGGACAGTGGAGAGGGAGAGGAGAGGACAAATCAGAGACACTGAGGAGTTAATATCATCCATTCATGGTTATTAATTATTATTACATTATTATTATATTATTGGTAGGGAAAGGGGAGAATCAAGGGTGATTTCTAGTCTTCTGCCTGGTAAATAAATGATTATATGATTTTTGAAAAAATGTTCAATAGGAATAGGGGTAAGTACAGGAAAAGAGGGAAGGATTTCTCTTATTAAATATTAGAATATAGATATTCTCTTATTCAAAGATTAAGGTGCTTCTTTGATGCTCATTCCCAAAAGAGAAGTCAAAGAAGCAGTTAAATATAAGAGTATGGAGCTTAATAAGGTGATCTTGGCTGAACATGCAGATTGGGGAACATCTATACAGAGAAGTAGTTGCGCCATCAAGGTGGATGTTATTACGTCAGGAGACAACATACGGTCAGAAGAGCAGAGGGGTACCCTTTCCCACAGATGAGAAAAATGGAGAAGAGCTTAGTTAATGTCTTCTTGAGTGCTTTATGACTATATGAAGTTTAGCCTGTGGAAACCTAGTTTCTTAGCCAACTTTTCTAAATAAATAGGCAGTACCATTTTTTCAGTAGAGCTTCTATGAATGCTGTTTTGCAAATCTAACTCTTCCTCCTCTGCCTCTTTGATTCAGTTTTTTCCTACACCTTGTTTATTGTTCATCAATATTTTGGAAGCAGTGTGTTTCATACCTACCCCTTCCACTGTAGTCCACGCCTTTCATTTCTTCACGCTGACTCAAGTAATGTCTTTCATCTTTTCTCTGCTAACTCAGCTCCAACTCAGAGAAGGGCTAAAATAATGTTTTTCTAATATTGCTTCTATTGTCATTCTCCAGCTACAGAACCCATTGAGAATTCTCTATTGGCTGTTACACTGAATCAAATTAAACCTCTTCTGTGAAGCCTACAAGATGCTTTACCTGTTTGCCACTTCTGCATTTTCTTTTACCAACCTTCTTTTTCATTATTTCTTTACACAGATTATCCCCTCTTCTCTAATGTGCTCATTTGCTTACCTTTTCATTCCAAAAATCTCAGGTTCACTTTATTCAAGACTTGACTGCTATTTTAATCTGTAGCAGTTAAATGTTAAAATCAAATAGAAATTTGAATTTTCCGTATTTAATGCTTCCCACACATATGTAATACATTCTATCCTGTGTCATTTTGCCTTTTTTTGTCTCCTTTACAATATGCTTAATTTTTTTCCACTGGTACAAATCCTTAATTGATTACAAGTTCTCTAGGGTTAAGAATCATGTACAATATGCCTTTAAATTAAAATGATGGTGACCCAAAGTAAAATCAGAATAATAGGAACATAGACTTATTTCTGGCCCTGTGGCAGATTAGATACATGAACACTAGAAAACAACTAAATATGTTAGTTAAAATTTTAAAAACACCTTTTGAAATGTATAATTGAGTTGACAAGAAAAAAGTACAACCAGAAAGCGGAAACTCAGAGAGGCAAGGAACACTGAATCTGGTTTTCTTCTGAGGATTCCTGCTAAAATCTGGTGACCTTAGGTTTCTGTTTTGATGGATGTACAGAGTTTGGACAAGCATAGGGTCTATTTAGGATGTATAGTCTGCTAAGAGATTCCTCTATAAAACTAGAGGCCACACCTTGTGTTTAAGGATAAATTTGTTAAAAATTAATAAACAAAAACCAGTGCTGCAGCAAGGAAACTTCCTTTTTTTTTTTTTTTTTTTTTTTTTTTTTGACCTTGGCTCTGGGAAGATATGGAAAAATACCCCTTGAGAATTCCTCACCAGAAACCATCCTTCTTATGAGTGTACAGGAAGAATTTTTACTACTTGTCTGCCCTTAAAACCTTACACCAATAGCTGATTTTTAAAGTGACCTTGAGTTGGTTATGCCCCAATGAACTTGACAGAAGCAGACAAACATCCTGTCTGGAATAATGTGAGAAATCCAGACTTTAGAGGCTTACCAAAGATATAATTCCAAAGAACATAAGCTCATAGGCAAAAATCAAAAAACATACAAGGAAAGAAGGCACCATGAGCAAGAGCCAGTAGAACAGAATCTTGATCTCATTGTGGCCTTATTTTATATTTCTTTTATTATTAATAAGAATATGCTTATTAGTCACTTATAGTTCCCCTTTCATGAATTGTCTATTAACTTTTGCTGTTTTCTTCTGTTAAGATTCTTATTGCTTCCTTTATTCCCTCAGTTTTTTTCTTTCACATATTAAACTTTTTCTTGTTTTCCAACACGATTTTGCATTTGTTCTTTCTTTAAATGTGTACCTTCACAT